GCATGACTTGGACCTCTGGGGGTTGTCTGTCCTGGGGCCAGGCTCTGGGCAGCCCAAGTGCCCAAGCACAGCTGCTGCAGGACCCACCCTGCCCGTGGGTTTTCACTGATGGATTTCCATCCTGTCGAGCCAGAGGTGGGAGCTGGACGAGGCCGTTGCTGCTGTCCCTGTTCAGGTGGTCTGGGCAGCCAGGCACAGGTATATCCCTGTGCCTGTGGTGGGTTTGTGTGCTCTGTGTGCCTGCTGGGAGCACCCTCAGCCTCACTGCTGCTCAGACCTGGGCACACGGAGCAGCAGCCACCTTGCCCCTCTGGCTGTGGCATCCAGATGATGTATTGTCCTCTGTGTAGCAGCTCCAGGTTTTTAAGAGATTTCTCAAATGTTTGTTCCTACCATCAGCATCTAACAAACTTCATGGCTTCTTTCCATTTTTATAGGAAAAAACACCACCCTGGTCCAGGCACTGAGACTTGTCATCTGGCGGGACAAAGAGCTGGGACACTTGGCTGTACTAGGACACTAAAGCATAGGGTTTAGCCAAAGAACAGTTCCCCAGCGTGGAGGCTTACACCTGCCAAACCCTGTAGCATTCTTGGGAGGCTTTTCTATACCTCTTCTCCATTTCCAGCCTTTCACACATCATGGTATTCCTTTTGACTTCTTTTGCAAGCTAGCTCTGGCTCTGCCTTCGCTTCCCTTATGCTTTGGTTTGGGTTACCAGTGTGAGCTGCTGGCTGTAGGCTGTTTCTGCCTTCCTGCCGCTCCTGTATGTCGTGACTGACCTGCTTTGTCTTTCTCTTTTACTGTATCTCTCTCTCTCTCTCCCCAATCTGTCTTTTGCTTTCTCCATTCTTCCTACCTCCATCACTGCAGGTTCATCATGCCTAGTGGCATATAAAAAGACTCCACCTCCTGTCCCACCTCGGACTACATCAAAGCCGTTCATCTCTGTCACTGTGCAGAGCAGCACTGAGTCCGCCCAGGACACCTACCTGGACAGCCAGGACCACAAGAGCGAGGTGACCAGCCAGTCAGGGCTCAGCAACTCTTCAGACAGCTTGGACAGCACCAGGACACCCAGCGTGACCAGGGGGAGCCTCGTGACCCCGGCGAGGGAGACTCCAGAGCTACCCCAGAAAAATGCGACCCTGAAAAGCGACAAAGGGACTCTGACGAGCGAGGAGCCTAAAGTGGAGAACATCCCCAAAAGAAAGCTGTCCTCTATAGGAATACAAGTATGGGATAGTTTGTTCTCCTTGGTCCTAAGGAATGTCCTTCACCCGTCCATTTAGCGTGTGCATTTTGTGTGACCGGGGTGCACCTGAACTCTTAGAACAGCAGGGGAAACCAGCTGCCCTGTCAGGCTGCCTGCCCCTGTGCCCAGGGTGAAACCCAGCAGAACCTTTCCATAACAGGCCAGGAAGGACTGAGTTCTCTTTATACAAAATTTAAATGGTTCATGAAGCAGTGGGACCCTGTTAACTGGGCAAGTCCCTCTGAAGAGGCCCTTTGCTGCCAGTCTGCCCGTGCTCTGTACTACATATTACTTAAAATCAGTCTCCTCACCTGTCATGATTCTCGGGACAACTTTATTCTGAGAGGTGGGGCCTTCTGTATGATATCCATGTAGTACAGGCTGCTGGGGTGCAAAATGGTCCCCAGGCTGTGGGCAGGAGGGAGCAATTTCTCATTGTCCACTGCTCCCAGCAGGCTGCTGCTTCTCTTGCTCAAAGCAGGTAACAGATGAGCTGTTGGTTATATAATCAAACCAGAACCCACTGAGCAGGGTAAATCTGTGCTTTATTCAGCAAAACTTAAGTCATCTGCAGTTGTACCCTGTTCTTGTGACCTGTCTCCCAGTCACGGGCTGCTGGGAGCACTGGTTCAGTGCTGCAGGCTCTGCCACCTGCAGAGGAACTTCAGTGCTTGGGCAAGTCCAGAGGCAGGGTGAGGGCACTCAGCCACCCCGTCTGTGGCTGGACAGGTTCTCTGTAGGATTTACAGGAAGGCTAGCTGGCCTGCTAGGCACATGGGACAGCAAATGCTCTTCTGCAGGGCTGGTGGGGCAAAACACGTGCTGAAAGGGCAGCAAGGCTCAAGAACTGGCACTGGAGAGGCTGACTGCCTCCCTCTCCTCTTCCTTTCCTGTGCTGGTTCCCAAAGCACCCACCCCACAGCCTGGATTTCCTTAAAATCTCCTATTGCTCCTCTCCAGGGCTGTGGAGGGCATCAGTCCCTGGGGTGAGGAACCTGGCCCTTGCTGTTGACCCGAGTCTCAGATCTCTGCCCTCTGCTGAGTCCCTTGGCCTCTGCCCGTGTGGGATGCCACGCACAGGGTGCTCCCCGAGGGCACACAGCCCTTCCCCGGTGTGCCACGGGCATGCAGGCAGGGCTGGAGGGCAGGGCTGAGTGCTCGTGGAGGGGGTAGCTGGCAGCAGCCCGGCAGGGCACGGGCCTGGTGCCCAAGTGGAGGCAGAGGCGGGCGGGAGCGTGGTGCCCTCCCAGGGCAGCCTGCAGCTGGCAGTGGCGTTGGCACACCCCCTGTGGGTGCAGCACTCTGCTCCACTAACGTGAGCTCCACAGCAAGTTCTCGTGTCTGGTTTTGTCTGTATTTTTTTCTGTTTGATAAGGTTGACTGCCTTCAGCCAGTGGCAAAAGAGGAGCCTCCTCCACCAGCCACCAAATTCCAGTCCATTGGGGTGCAGGTAGAGGACGAGTGGCGGTAAGTGAAGACACAAGCTTCTGTAGCTCCCTTCCTCTTAAACTGCACTTCCCCCCCTTAGGCCTTCTCCCCTTCTTGGTTCCCATGTGAGGGGTGTTGAATGGGGGCCCATGGAGAGCTCTTCCTCCACAGCACACACCTGCTGCACAAAGCACTTGTTCTGTGACCAGCCAAATCAGTGGGAGCTTGAGATTTAAACAAATGTCCGAGGTGTAGTTACAGACACGTGTCAGCCCTCGTCTGGACGGCCTGTTGCAGTAAGCAGGCTGCCTTATAATTGTCCGTCTGAACGTGTGGTGTGTCTGTGTGAGGAGGGGCAGGGTGGGCAGGCTGAGGCTCATCTCCAGGCATAACAGACTAGTGCGTTTCACTGGCAGGTCGTGGGGCCAGCCAGGTTGAGTTCTGATGTTTAACGTTTGCTTTTGATCTCTAGAAACAGCCACTCTCGCAGCATGTCCTCCAAACAGGACACAGACTCTGACACACAGGAACCCAATAACTCTAGCTGTAAATCATCTGAGAGAAGCCTCGCTGAGTGCCCCCAGCACAACAACTCTGTCGGTGTTGATGCCACTACCAGGCAACCAGCCAAGCCCTCACAGATTAAGAGAAACCTCTCCTATGGAGAAAACAGTGACCCAGCCCTGGAGCCTTCCTCTCTCCCTCCTCCCGACCCCTGGCTCGAGACCTCCTCGGCCTCCCCGTCGGAGCCCGCGCAGCCGGGGCCCTGCCGGCGGGACGGCTTCTGGTTCCTCAAGCTGCTGCAGGCCGAGACGGAGCGGCTGGAGGGCTGGTGCCGCCAGATGGACCAGGAGACCAAAGAGAACACCCTCTCTGAAGAAGGTAGGGGGTCACCCCCTCAGGCCAGGCCTGGCAGCGCCTCCCCCAGGAAGGGGTTGTGGCTGAGTGCTGATGAGCCTTCTGCAGGGACGCTGACAGCCCGCAGAGCACGGGGAGGGGTGTGGGACAAGGGACCTTCTCCCTTTGCAAAGGATAAGGCAGGTTCCACTAGCAGATGGGGTAAGAGCTAATGCTGCAATGCAGCGTGGAAGATGGCAGGTGATGGTGCAGCTTCTGACCGTTCCAGACCTGTAAAAGCTTAAATGGATTGCATCTGGGGGGGCTGTGGGATCTTTCTCCCTCCCTGAGCCATTGCACTCGAGCGGGCAGGTGTGAGTTTGGTTGTGATTGTTCTGCCCCACTGCCAACTTCTGAGCTGGTGTGAGTTTGGTTGGCAGTGGGGCAGAACAATCATGACTTCCGAGCTGGTTCCCTCTGTTGAATCGGTGGAATTGCCCTCACAGCAAGGAGGAGGCTTCTCCATATGGGAAAGCTTCACTGGTTTTGTGCTAAATACACCAGAAGTGCAAGGCAGGGAACACTTGATTTCATTGGGTTCAGTCCTGGTTGGGCTTGTTCCATTATTTTCAAGAGAGCTGGTGCTAAACCTGTGCTGCTTGCAGTGAAAATCAAGCCCGTGGTGCACACAGAGTGACAGGAGTGGGTGACTGGGCTGCAGAGGGCAGGATCTTTGTTTTGAGTTGGGTGGGTTTATTTGTTTAATACCTGAGAAAGGTGAAACAATGGTCAGACTCAGTTATAGCTCCCTGTCCTGCTGGGGCTTGGGGGAGCTAATCTCTAATCCTATTGCACTAAGATGCTGGACGGGCAGTGCCAGGGCTCTCCCCACCCCAGGGGATGCCCTTGTTCTACCTGTGGCAAGAAGAGGCACTGAGACAGTGTGTGATTGTATCTGTGACTTCTAAGAGCAATCTCCTAGTAGATTCTGTAGTGGAGAACTTGGTGGGTACAGAGAGATACAGCTTATGCTGTGTCCCACCAGGGTCTGTGAACGCCCAGCACTGGCTCAGTAGGTGCAGCAGCAGGCCAGGGAGAAGGGGAATTGGCTCATCCCTGCCCCTGGTGCAGCTGCATGCTCTGTGGGAAGGGCAGAGCCTGCACAGTGCTCTTCCACTAATGGACAGAGGAATGTTACCATGCCCAGAGGCTCCTCTGAAAACCCACTAACAGCAGCATGAGGTCCTGGGTATTAAAAGCCCTGGCGGGCCAATATTTGAATCCCTTCTGGTAAATGGAGGTTACAGACAGTCCTGCCCCTTGCTGCCTTCCCCTCCTGCATGTGTGGCAGAGCAGGTGCCTGCAGCTCTGCTCACTGCTGGTTTGCCCCATGGGCTGAAGGTAGCTTAAGGTGCTTCCTGCCAGCGCTGACTTAACGTTCTCAGTCTGGCCTGCTTCTGACTTGCTCTAGAAGGAGCAAGAATAGATGGCAAAGACAGACACAGATTATAGTTTCAATACATCTTCTTTTCCTGAGAGCACTTAGTTCCTTGGAGATCTCTGAAACTCTTCTTCTAATGAACAAAGAGTGTTTCTTTGCTCCATGAACACCTGAGTTCATTGCTGCGTTTCACAGTCCATGCAACTGAGGTTTTCTTTTTTTCTCCCCCACAGTCTTAGGAAAGGTCCTGAGTGCAGTGGGCAGTGCACAGTTACTAATGTCACAGAAGTTCCAGCAATTCCACGGCCTCTGTGAACAAAACTTGGTGAGTCTGAATCCATTTCTCCTGGGTTTTGGGAGGAGGATGTATCTGTTTCAAGAGCACTACAGGAACACACTCAGGCTCCTGTCACTGAAAAAACAAAGCCAGTGCAGCTGCAGCCTCAACCTGACCACTGTGGGGTGATGGATGGACGCTGATCTAAACTGGCAGCTGAGCTGTGGGAGGCTGATGGCCTCACCCCCCCTCTAAACAGGCAGTTCTTGGGTTGTGCTCTGCTCAGGGGTGAGTGTTTGCAATTCCTTCTGCTGCTTACGTGAGCACAGGGGAATTTTCTTGAACTGCTGATCAGGGCATGCTGAAAAACACCGAGTCTCTGTGGGTCTGAGGTGCCAATAAGCCATACTGCTGTGTGGCCTGGAAACTACCTCTTTCTTCTTGAGGGCTCTTTGAGGTGAACCACTGAGGTTTTGCCAAATTGGGGAAAAATGTTTGAAAAGTCTACTGTTCTTCTCCAAACGTGCTGTGCTTTGCATGTAGATTGTGGATGGTAAAGCTTCCCAACAGGATTGTCCCTCACTGGTCACAAAGCACTGTTTGAATCTGCTCCCTTCTGATGTGACACGAGGGGTGCTGAGCCACACAGGGCTGGCAGGGGGGTGGAGGGCAACCGAGCTGCTGTTGCCCAGCAGGCTTGATACTGGTATGGACTTTGCAGACTTCCTCAGGGGTGAATTCCCCTTCATGTGAAAAAAATTGGAGGAACTCAGGAAGGGGGAGGAGAAGGTGAAGTGCTGAGCATCTGCTTGCTGCTGACAGCTGGGAGATCAGCACCATCAGCTGCCAGGCTTGCAACAGAGCGTTGTGCTGAGTTGCTCAGGTCTGATCCTGTGCTGCCCTGAGACAATCCAGGCCTATGGTGGCAGTTCAGACACCTCAGAACTAGGAAAACTGTTCTTGGAAGAAACTTAAGCCACTTAAAATTTTTTTTTGACCTAGCCTGGGAAATACTAATACTTTCAGATTGTTTTGCATGAAGTAATTTAGCCTGTGGAAGCTGTGTCAGCCTCTTAGGATTGCTGTACGCTGGCATGCAAGGTCTCAAAGTGTCAGTGCTGTGCTTTGCACTGTGCTGGGTCCATTCCCACTATTGCCCACCCTGAAGTCAGGACCTCTGTGTAGGAAACCAGAGTTCTAGCTCTGAATCCCATGCTGGGGACACCTTCAGTTGGGGGTTGCTGCTGTGGGCTTAGTGATAAAAAAGCTCTGGGGAGAAAGGGAGCTCTGGCTGTCAGCCTTAGAGTGTCTTTCAGGATTCTTCTCCAGGCTTCTACAGGAGAAACACAGTGGGGATCTCTGCAGAAGCAGTTCTGGCTGAAGTGGTGGCATTGTGCCTCTGCGTGTGCAGGGCTGGTGTCTCCCCTGGGCTCTTGGTGCTTCACTTGTCAGGCAGGTAGACTGGCAAGGGATGGATGTGTGAACTGTGCAGGCTGCTCTGCTTGTCAGGAGGGTGTATTCTTACTGAAAGTTGGGGGTTTTTTTATGCTTTCCCTTCTAGAACCCTAATGCAAATCCCAGACCCACAGCCCAGGACCTAGCTGGGTTTTGGGATCTCCTGCAGTTGTCCATTGAAGACATCAGCATGAAGTTTGATGAGCTGTACCACCTGAAAGCTAACAGCTGGCAGCTGGCAGAAACACCAGAGAGAAAGGTGAGTGTGGGGCAGTTGAGAGTGGCCAGAGCCACAGAGATGTCTTGCAGACATTTTGGGAATCTGAGGTCTATATTTGCAGTAAACAGAAGACCTCTGGGGCTTTCGAAAGCCCTCCTGTGCTTGTGCAGCGTAACCTCACAGCCTTGCAATGCACTGAGACCATTCCTCTTGAGTAATAATGGAAACAATTTTGTGCGGGGAGGGGAAAGGCAGCACAGTGGAGGGCCCGGAGACTGCCTGCCGCGGTGGCACAGAGCTCCCTAGCGTTGGGAGCTGCGGCGTGGGGTGTAACTGCTCTCCCAGCGGTGTGGAGCCAACACCTACTGCTGGAGCCTCCGGGAAGTGCAGCACAGGCTGGCTCCCTGGCCCGGGCTGCCCCACCAGGCGGGTAGGAGGGAGGGCTGTGGCTCTGGGCAGGGTGGCATGTTAAAACTTCGCAGTTGCAGATGAGTTCGGTCCTCACGCTGCCTGGGCTGTGCTCTGGCCTAGAGCTGGGCCAGGCATGGTCTGCCAACTCTAGTCCACTTCACAGACGGCCTCTGGACCCTCAAACACAAAATGTCCCATTTCTAGAAATGAGGGGAGGC